TGTTTTGGATTTAACTTCCTCTACTTGTTTGTAACACAGGAGGGGGGGAAAAAAAAGCAGTTTTGTTATCAAGCATAAAGTCCTTCATGGTCTTACTGGTCCTCCGGAGGCCAGCTGAAGAGTTTACATGGGCTTAAGGCAAAGCTGTTAGCCTCTGGGTGTGGTAGGAATACCTACATTAAGTAATTGTGTAAATTAAACCCCATGACCTAATGCATAACGGAAGTTGCAGAGACAGCCTTCAGTTTGAAACTGAACCCTGCTGAAATCTTGAGTTTGCAGCTACTCAGACTCGTGCTTGGCTTCCATACAACTACCAGGAGCACTAAGTTAAACCAACTGTGGGAGCACCTGCAAGCTGAGCCCTGCACAGCTGTCTGGGGGAAGCTCGGGTCTTCCAGCCCATAGAATTACCTGTTGTTCAGCCACGTCATCAGACTTCTAGGAATAAAACTTCTTGCTGTGATTCGGGAATGGAAGCACAAAACGTGTGGTTGCAGCAGACAGGTGGTTGTGAGAAGAGATGTAGGAAGGAGGAGCGTGCTGCGGGCAGGTAAAGGCGGTCAGAAGGGAAGCTCAGAGCTCCCCATGCAACTGAGAATAACACACGGTGTAGTTTGCTTGTGTTATTTTTTTTTTTTAGCATAAGCTGTGGCATTTTACAGCTTAGCCATCTTTCCTTCCCCTAAGTAAAGAGTTTAGGTTAACTAAAACTTATGTGTTCTTTCCTTTCCAGGAAGTTCTGTGACAGATGTATCCCAGGCAGCCAAGGACCAGTGAGTAACAGATGTGTGCAGAGTAACTAACCGCACAGCACCACCAGAATTATATCTGGAAGCAAATCATTTGGAAACTTTCGTTTTATGCTCTAACGGGCAGCGAGCATTGATGATGGAGAAACCCCACGTTTTCCTCCAGTGACTCATGCTCATATGCACGCTGAAAAAATTTCTCTGATATGTTTTTTTCCCAGAAAACAACTAGCTTCAAATATCAGAGGAACAAAACTAATGTTATTTCACAAGTAAGTCCAGTGCCAGAAAGTTTTAGCTTCCGTGTGCCTGGGCAAGGTCTGAAGAAACTGCAGTACAGGAAATGTGAATTCCCATGCAGGGTCTGTCTTGGCTCTGAAATGCTCAAAATGAGGAATTTCTTTCCTATCTGAGCACTGTTGCTGCACGTTGCAGGTTAAAGCAGGTTTTGGATGACTTCTGGATATTAGAGCTAGTAACAACAGCTTTCCTGGTCATCAGGGTACCTGTTGGGTGGTATCATGGTGCTAAAAGTGCTTCCCAGGTGGTGAACACCTCGTGTGAAATACCTGAGGTCTGTGGAACTGTCTAGTAGGTCAGCAGCAGTCTCTGCTCAGAGCAACCAACTACAGGATTTACACCCAGCACGTCAGCAAACACCGGCAGTGCTGTAGTGAGAATCTGTTATTCAGAAATGATGATGATGGGAAATCTAGCTAGAAGAGTAAATTCTGACGGAGCTGAAGTTAAATTGTCTTTTTCAGAGCCTGCGAGAACGTCTGCTTCGTTGGGAGACCGTGGAGGATCGTGGATGGGAACCTGAATAAACCCGTGTGCAAGGGGATGATGGAAGCTGTGCTCTATCACATCATGACGAAGCCAGGCGTGACGGAGGGCATGCTGCTGCAGCACTACGTGGGGGTGCTGCAGCCTGTGGCTGTCTTGGAGATACTGCAGGTACGTGAACCATCAGCTGTGGGAACGTGAAGCTGGTTCAGCTTCACACCTAAGAGTCAGCAACTACTCTGCTACATGTCCCAGGAAAATGGGACCGTGAATGAATCATGAAAAACAACCTTCTCCCTTCAGTGTAAATGAAACAGTCAGAGCAAGGTGCTGTTCACAGTGAGGAAGGAAGGAAGCCTGCTTCACCCAACCTTGAGATTACCAGATTACTGATTTTAACACCTGAAATGGCGGTGCACGTGGTTTGAAGTTCTAGCTGGTTACTGATGGTTACTAAAGAGTTACATCTCATGGTGAAATAGTAAGTTGGACCATTTAATGCAGTGTTAATCACCACAGAGTTTATCTTCATTTTTTCCCTATACACCTTTCAGGTGGGTGATCTTTGACATAAGAATCAGACTGAAATGTGTCAGTGCTAGACAATACTATAAAAAAGACCTCCTTATCCTGACAGACATGCTTAAAGGTGTGCATCCTTCATTCTAAAATAATACATGGCGAGAAAATTTGAGTTTCTCATATTTTTTTTTCCCCTCACATCTTGAAGTTCGATTGCTACCACTGCTAAGTGAACCTTTGATGTGTATCTTTTTTCCTGTAAGGATTCAAAATCTCGAGTATAGCAGTAATACTGCAGTCCCTCCCGTGAGCATGGCTTCCCCCACTAATGCTGGCAATTAATACTCTGGTGTGTGTAGGCCCCACTTCTGTCCAAAGGCTCACGTTTTGGGAAGAGCAGCGTCCTGTTCCCTGGGTGTCCCTGCGTGGGCTGCCCAGAGGGGGCTGGGGTAGGACAGGCTTAAGCTGCAGCAATACAGTGGTGAGACATGCACAGGTGGGTGAGCAATACATATTTCTGGGCATTTTTAATACAAATCCACAAAATCGAGCGATTACCTGTACCTCTCACAGACTGGAGAACTTGAACCTAACTTTTCTATCAATAAATTTGGTAAGAACTGGTTTAGAAAGCACAGACAGAGCTTTGGTATATCTGCAATATACCAAATATTAGTAAATCTAGACACGTGTGTAAGATCACTGAGCACACCCCAGATGTTTACAGCAAATAAAGCACATGTCCTTGTTGGGTGCTGCTCTGGGAACAAATTCTGACCCATTAAGCAAAAACTGACCCGGAACTCTGGGATTTACATCTGTACCAGCCTGAAATTATTTGTAACGGGGTCCTAAATGTTGAGACCTGTTGTTGAACACGTGTTCTGTGTCAGTAGCCAGATGTCAACCACTGTGCTGAAAGTCACAAAGGAGCGTGTATCCAGCTGCCTCAACTTGCTCTGGTGTGCTGTGACCTTTGCCAGCCCCACGGTCTCCCGAGGGGGTGAGGTGAAGCTGCTTTTAGTACAAATTGTCTAACCACTGGAGGTAGAACAGCGCTCAGTGCATTTTTTTAATTTTTTTTTCACTGCAACTGTTCAAGCTAAAATATGTGAATTTTTCTGTAGGGTCTGGAAAGCCTTGGTTGCATCAGACGATTCTACATGAAGAAGCCATCCCTGGTGTCGCTCTTTTCTCAGCCAGTTATAGAAGAACAACTAAACAATCCCAAACTGAGCGAAACCCCAACAATTTACTATGAGCCTACCATAGACTGTACTCTCAGGCTGGGAAGAGTGTTCCCCTCTGAAGTGAACTGGAATAAATGGGTGCAGATCATCCCTGTGTAGAAGAGGTAAAGCCGAGTCATATTAAATTGGTTTAGCCTGTAGGAGTGAGTGTTAACGCAGATTAAATGTTACAATTTCTGCTCCGTGTTTTTATTTATTTGTCCTTTTTACTTTTGAATATATTTAAACTGAGAATAAAGCTTAATGTTAAGACACAGGTAATATTTGATCTTACTTTAAGTGTGTTCTCTTTTTATCAATAACTGCTTGTAGAGCATACAGTTCAGTTTCTGCTTTATCTCACAGGTCTCGGGTCGCAGCAAGGGGCCCTTTTTCTGTATTTTCCTCCCCCTACAGCCGCGGCGGTAACACTTTACCTCTGCTTTGCCGTCTGTCCTGTTGCACAGCCGCTGACTTGGCGCTAAGGTTTGGTCAGTAATTACTCTTGAGCTTGGTTAACTTCGGGTCTGTCTGTATTTTAAGCGCTGGTTTCGCCGGTGTCCACGGCCTGCCTCTACTGCTGGGCTCGTCACGGGTTGTGACTCTCACATGCTTCGTGGGACCAGAGTGGCCGTCTCTGGAGGGGTGCCACCAGTGAGGCGAGTGGCGGATGCGGGCTCGCACCCGCGCCGGCCCTGCGGCGGCACCGGGGGGGCCCTGTGCCCGCCTGCCACGAGCCCTTCGGAGGGTGAACGCAGAAATTGCCGTCGGGCTGTCCGTTTGGCAGAGCTCAAATGTGAAAAGAAAAATAATAGCAACTTTAGAAGTGCAATGAGAACAAGAATATTTTATAAAATTTGCTTATCCCTGTCATCTTCTCTTTGCATTTGTCCTCAAGGCAAGAACTGCAGCTGAAGTAGGGTTTTTCTCTTTAGCGCCGTGTTTCACCAGTCTGCTTCACATTCTCTACTTCTCAGCCTCATGGCATTAGAATTAACTGTTTCATTGCAGATACCAGGCTTCCACCGAACGTTGTTTATGGTCACATTTAATAAATTCATACACATATACTCGATCGAAAGCTGCTCCTCCAGCGCTGGCCTGGGGCTGCCGGAGGAGCGGTGCCTCGGGCCGTGCCCGCAGCCGCCCGGCTGCCCCGGCGCGTCCCCCTGCGACGTGCAGCAGTGACCAGGTCCGGGTGTCGCGGCCCTTTGGCGGGGAAACGCCGCTTCCTGGCGGATTTGCATCCCAAGCCCTAAGTCAGCAGTTTGGGGGTTGTGTGGTAGGGTGCCCTGGCTTGTTCGGGTGAGTCATCGCTCAAATAGTCACCGGAGCAAATGTGCTTGTCCGAACACGAGGTGCTCTGCAGAGACACCCGAGCAGGCTATTTTAAAGCACGTTACGTGTGTCTGAGGTAAACAGCAAAACGCTTTTTGTTTTACCACATGTAGGGCTCCGGAGTCGAAAACCTGATGCGTTAGTCTGTGCGCTAAGACCGCCTTCCTTGCTGCCTGAAACAAAGCTTGCTTCCTGTCCTCCCAGTTCAGATCCCATCAGGTTGGAGGGAAAAGCGCTTTGGGCCCAGCAGACGTGTTTTCCCTGCTGGGTCCCAGAACAAAGGCTGCTCTGCAGGGTCTCCCACGGTACCGCTGCCT